AAGAGGTTCGACTGTGAAACGATTTCATACATTGTACTTGTTGAGAAAAGGAACTCACACTTCAGAGGAACTGTGGGAATTGTAACACCGGCGCTTTTCAAAGCTTTTCGGACTTGAAGAACGAACCACGAATCCCTTCTTGATCCACGCTTGAATGGGCGTACCACAAAATTTCGGCTTCTGCAAACGAAAATTACGATGAGTTGTTTTAGGAACAAAATAATGCTGAATTCAGAAACACAAACCGTATCGGTCGTGTCCTCCAAGCGGAATTCCTTCAAAGCTTCTTCAATTTCCATTGGCACATCAGCAACAGCCAAACTGAAATCCGTTTGCGTTCCAACTAAACCAAGAAGAATCCTTCCAGTTGAGGTAAAATACTGTACATCCAAATTTTTTTAAAATTACTTTTCAATTTTCCCCTGGAGCCTACTCTTTCCAAGACACACCAAGGTTTGCGTACCATCTACTAGGTTACCAAATAAAATAACACCATTTTCACATTTACTAAATTTCGTAAAAACGGACCAGAAAGACCTTCTGAAAATATTCTCTACAATAACATGAATAATTCATCATATCGAGATTTCCTTTCGGATGTGATGTAAGCATGTAACTCTGCAAAAATTCAAACTTGAACCAAAACCATTGCTTCGCACGCCTCAGAATATTGTAGGAATATGCCGTTTGCTAAAATTTCTTCGTTAAACACGAGGATATACAATAAATAATTTCAAATACAGCATAAGCTGAAAAAGCAGGTATTCTAGCTTTGAACACAGAATTAGTGTACAGTATTTCATAAAATTGATTTCATCACCGATTAAAAAAGCTCAGTGCTTACATTTTTGCATTATAAAAAATACCTAAAAATATAAAAAGAACGGATTCTTATTCACCATGGCGTTCCATGTAAGACGCATATCTCAGAACGGCTTTTTCCCTGGAAATCACAGGCGTGGAATTCTTCGCAGATCCGGTATCGTTCCAGTCAGAACCACTGTTGCCGGTCACAAAACAAGAAATTTTATCATACTGTACTTTGGTGTGACCGTATAAAACACAACAGTATATAGTACAGTACTGCACTTGCAATCTGAGAGAAGTACCTGTCCGAGAAATACTCCGCTCGAGTCTCCTCCAAGTTGACAGAAGAGAAATATTCGTTGCGCTCATCCTGAGCATTGGAAGATGCTTCTAAAACCTCATCCGCATTGTCGGAAGGTTCTTTAAAATCCAAACTTCGTGATTTACAGGAAATGCCTTGCGAACCATTTCCTGAATCCACTTCCAGAGCGGGTCCATTTTCTAACATCGTCGAATTG